AATGAAAGAATTATTACTGATAAAGAAAGAATTATTTCAATCGGGCACTCAATAACTGAGAAATAAGCCCCAAACGTTTGCACACTGACTTATGGGCCACCCTTTATTAATAGATTTGATTAAAAGTAATTAATGGCTTATCTAACACTTGGTGCACTAACGATGCACCATGCTGGATCTGCAATAAACACGTTTTGTTGTTGGTCTACTTTACTGCATGATATAGGGCGGGGTCTCAGCGCACTATTATATACCTGCGGCTGGAAAACTTGATGAAATCATTTCGTTCACTACCACCCCCCCGCGCCGGGGTAACAGGTTCAACCACCCTGGAGTGTGGAGGCCACGTATTTTTAAAGCATTTATTTTATAAAATAACAGAACATCAATATCCAGAGCCATATCTATGCACATTACGTATTTACGTTGTTTAAATGCTAACAGCTGTGGATAAACACAACAGCTATGCTGTGTTCATCTCCCTTGCTCAGGCTGCATTTTATGAATTTGTAAACTAGTAATAGAAGAGGATTCTGGTAGGGAGGCGAGGCATATTTGTTTACCTTTGTTTACCACATCTATAATATGTAAAATTAATAGAACAAATCACACAGCATCTAATAATATGTAATTCTGAACTCTGCATACCCGGGCTTTAGCAATTGTTTTCTGATTTGTTTACTGATTTGTTTATCGATTTGTGCCGGCGAAGATGTTTTTGACGAACATATGTAACCTGCAATTGAATCCTATGCCTTTTGTCTGAGAAAAAAACGGGTCTCTCGATTCCAAGTCATGCGTCTGTGATGTGGGTTGTGACTGTTTAAAACTTCATTAAGTTTACAAGTAACATCGTTGCAAAAGGCTGTGTATTGTCGCGTCTAGTCGAACTATTGCACTGGCTTACCCTAGATGTTGTGTTATTAATTGAACGGCAATTATAACAGTCAACCCCAGTCACCAGTCCCAAACTATTGACACTTGTCACATTACGATTATCATACACAAGCCTGATGGGTTGATAATGATGATCACGATCACATTTTAATCACGAGGATCACATTATAATCAGCAGGATCACAGCAGTTTCACCATCAGGATCACAGCAGTTTCACCATCAGGATCACAGCAGTTTCACCATCAGGATCACAGCAGTTTCACCATCAGGATCACAGCAGTTTCACCATCAGGATCACAGCAGTTTCACCATCAGGATCACAGCAGTTTCACCATCAGGATCACAGCAGTTTCACCATCAGGATCACAGCAGTTTCACCATCAGGATCACAGCAGTTTCACCATCAGGATCACAGCAGTTTCACCATCAGGATCACAGCAGTTTCACCGTCAGGATCACAGCAGTTTCACCATCAGGATCACAGCAGTTTCACCATCAGGATCACAGCAGTTTCACCATCAGGATCACAGCAGTTTCACCATCAGGATCACAGCAGTTTCACCGTCAGGATCACAGCAGTTTCACCATCAGGATCACAGCAGTTTCACCATCAGGATCACAGCAGTTTCACCATCAGGATCACAGCAGTTTCACCATCAGGATCATAGCAGTTTCACCATCAGGATCACAGCAGTTTCACCGTCAGGATCACAGCAGTTTCACCATCAGGATCACAGCAGTTTCACCGTCAGGATCACAGCAGTTTCACCGTCAGGATCACAGCAGTTTCACCATCAGGATCACAGCAGTTTCACCATCAGGATCATAGCAGTTTCACCATCAGGATCACAGCAGTTTCACCGTCAGGATCACAGCAGTTTCACCGTCAGGATCACAGCAGTTTCACCATCAGGATCACAGCAGTTTCACCATCAGGATCACAGCAGTTTCACCATCAGGATCACAGCAGTTTCACCATCAGGATCACAGCAGTTTCACCATCAGGATCACAGCAGTTTCACCATCAGGATCACAGCAGTTTCACCGTCAGGATCACAGCAGTTTCACCGTCAGGATCACAGCAGTTTCACCGTCAGGATCACAGCAGTTTCACCATCAGGATCACAGCAGTTTCACCATCAGGATCACAGCAGTTTCACCGTCAGGAGCTACTGAACCCCAGCTGATGGCGGGTGAGTTCCGGGGTTGCTAAGCGGCCAGGTGTCATGTTGGTATAATAATATGCAACTACTGAGGTGCAGATCTTAGTGCACCCATGTCTTGTTCGCCATCCTCCTTCTTTTGTATTTATGTGTTAACAACAACTGTGAATTATGCTGATTATTATCTGGTTTGCTCTAGTTTTCTTGGAAAAATATGACCTGGATCTGTATTTTACAAAACTTTTAATTAGTTTTGTTATTTAACAACTTATTCGAGTAATTTGGCTTATATCCGAATAGTCTGCTATTATGAGGAGAGTTTTTGTTACTCAAACTCTCTATACTAGTATAGGGATCATTTGTTAATCTGAAGAGACTGTTAGTTTCTATGAGGCCACAGTGAATATTGATAACTTAAATGTGTAATCTATTCCACTTTCAGTTATTGCCCTTACGGATCCATTATTTATTATAACTTGAATCAGTGACACACCTTAGGCTTAACAGTTTGTGAATGGTGGCGGGGCTTCAAACCTGGTAATTGTAATTGCCGACGCGTCTGGAAATGCTTCTATTAAAATCATTTAGTACCCACTTTTATTTGCATTACTTGCAGCGTACCTTATAGTTAATTCTTATTCTCGGCTAATATAACCATGGTTAGCAATTATGGTTAAATTATCAGTTGTTATGCAGACACATATTTCTATGGGATTCAACATTTATGTAATAGAAGTTCGACTATTTTGAGGGTTACCGGTTTCTGTAATTATAAGTCTGATGTGGCTGCTCTCGATCAAGTTAGAGGTTAGAATCCATTTCATACAAATATACGTCGCATAATCATGAATAGAGATTGATAATGGTAACTCGCTGGAATCAAATTTTCGTCGATGGCCTAAGGCCTTATAGAATTTACACGTGCAGATTCAAGGAGCTTACAAATCCGTTCTAGATAACTGTTCTAGCATACCACCTGGCGAGGAGCAACATATTTTATTTAAATATATTCTATAAGATCTGTATAGTAATCCTCTGGAAAATTACATTAAATTTTAAAACTTTATCATCTTATCTTAATGACCTCTTTTTCTCTTTCTTTCTCTGTCTGGCAACCGTTTCAGACCATATCAACTGCAATTTACGTTATAGTAACGACATATTATGAGCGGCTGTTCCGTTCATGTGCCGCCATAAGTGATATAACAGGAAGTTGCATAATTATGCGGGTGAAAACGCGCAACGGCGTACGTGTGTAATGATTGTTGGAGGGGCATTATGATCGGTTTCGTTATTATCAAGCTGTCTGGAGTTTGTTTTACATTTAAATCGGCTATATTTGCGGTTGGGATGGATATTTTTTGATGCGATAAATGAATTTCAAGGAATACCTTTAGCGTCCTCCTTGTGACCACGGGCTTTCTATGCTTATGATAATGATGACTTATTATAATGATAATGATAATGAATGAAATGAGATAAATGTTAAGAGTAATTAACTAACTCGTTTAATATGTTTATTCAGCGTGCAACCACGATGACCACACCAGAAACCCCATTTGCACTTGCAGACATCACTGTAGGAATCTTCCTGATATTCCTCTGTATTTTCGGAGCCTTCGGCAACTCTCTGGCATTCTTCTTCTTCTACGCAAAAGGGCAAAGGAAAGGCTCTGTTCACAATATGCTCTACACAATAATTTCTGGCTGTGACACCATACTCCTGATAATAATGATGCTATACCTTCCAACGCTTCTAACAAACCGCTCAGAAATGCTCTTTGGCAATCCCATATTTTGTACTAGCTTTGTTTTGGTCATGATGGTGTTAGCCAGGTTCATTTGGTTGATGGTAGTGGTAATAAGTACCTGCAGAACCATATGCATTATATTTCCTCATTATGTTATGAGAGCTATGACAATAAGAATGGGACTTTTAGCATATTTTCTGATGGTAGTATTTATCGACATCCTCGGGCTCGCACTAGGGTGGCAGAAAACCAGATACTTTATCAACGCAGCCTCCTGTCTCTATATGAGAACTGAAGCAGCACCCGCTTGGTTCAAAATATTCTGGACATTCAATCTCCTGACTCAGTTTATTATTCCATCTATTCTGATCTTCGTCAGCTTTTTGGTGAGTACAGTAGCCCTCCTGAAAAGGGCCACAGTCCAAAATGAAACCGACAAGAAATTCAGACGAGTTTCTATTACCATAACACTCTTTACTGCCGTGTTCTTGTTTTGCAACATTCCTTGCTTTGCATTCCAAATAATATTCATGATCAGCCTGATTACAATGAAGCAGATCAATATCTATTTCTTAACCTGGTATGGATTGATGGTATTGCAAATCCTGTCCACCGCCCTCAACTCAGCCCTCAATCCTTGCCTCTACTTCTTACGGATGAAGAACTTCAAAACCTGGACTCAAAACAAGCTTTATCGACGGCCTACCGACTCAGCCGTTTACCACTCTTGAACAGGAGAGAAAACTTACAAATTCCAGGGCTCAAAGGAATAATATAATCCACATCTTACAGTGGATAGAAAGAACTGTTGTGGACATGACAGTAGAATCGAAAATAAGAGTAGGGTGATTAATTGTTATCTTCGTTTAAAAAAATAATGATATATGCCGTATAATAATTGTTTGTAGCTGCTTGTTTGATGTAAATTCTCAGGAATCAATCTTATCTGTACATTTTTCACTGATTTTAAATTAAATTGTGTTTTATGCTGAAGTGTTGTTTATGTTGACGTTTTGTTTATGTTGAATTTTGATCTATGGTTCACGTGTAATACTCTTTGCTGGCTAATACTGAATTTTTTATCTTCTCTCTTATAGATTGGAGCAGCATACTTGCAAAATATAACAGCATTATTTAGCAACATATTTAGTAAAAATAATCTAATAAATACAAATATGAAACACATACTTGGAAGTGATCTGCATGCACTTGATGCAATGATAAAGTATTCCTTGAGTGGTGTCTTGGTGGGTGCTAAAGTGATCTCCGACTAGGGAAGGTAGTGTGAGCTGTGTCAAATGTAGCACAGTTGCTATGTCTCGTAAATGCTTTGACAGCACTTCACTGTCTATGTTCTGTACTGATGCACCTAGAAAATTTAGAAAATAATTAATATATTATGGTCGTTGACTTGACAAAAAATGATTCAATCGACAAAAATCCAATTTTAATGACAGACAATCAATAATGATATGAATTTCAAAGAATTTAGAGGATCAATTTTATCGCTGAATAGTACACAAACCTTCATCTCCCAGTACGATATTAGCTTGTAGCTGATACAGACCCTCACAGTGCTCGTTACACAGAGCTATTATAATACTTGAGATGTGTACTGGGTGCAGGTCTATTATCTGAAATGCACGTAATTGGGTAAACAAATTCTGTAAAGTTTTGAACCAACTAGAAATTAAAAGAATCACTAAATAATCGATTTAAAGATCGACAATTTATGTACAAAAGCGTACTGATGGAATACCTTGCTAAGAAGTTGGGTCAGTTTTCCAAGGAACAAGTCCCATTCAGTGTGTACAATCTCCTTTAACTCGCTAGAATCTAAAGTATCGTCCACATCTTCCAGCATGGAGTTGTTAGTTTGAAACCGAACTTTAGATAAAATCATACGGGCCAAGGTCGTCAGTGCTTCACCGTATCTGCAATTCAGGTTATTTAGTTTGACAATTCACTATCGGAAATTTAAAGATACAGAACACCAACATATGTATATTATGTATGTTTGTATTATTTGCACGAAATTTCTTGTATTATGGTGAGTGAGCTTGATAAGATTACCTCGGAACAGTGCCGTCTGGCGACAAAGAGCCCTGAACGGACAGCAAGAAGTCAACCCATGAACTACACACATCTATAGTTCCGCTAAACATGTCAGGGTCAGTCTGACTGTCCGTAAACTTGAAGAGCAAGGAAAGAAACTCCAGGACAGGGAAGGAAGAGTTAGATTCAACTCGACGTAAGTGACCACTGGTGAACAGGTTCAGGAACTCTATCAGTTTCTTGTGGTAGCTGGAATTTATAAATTTGATATGAGATGATTTTATTTGCATTCATAAAGATAAATTCCCTAGTGGGATTAGGTTTCTAAGATGACTATTCTTAGATTTTATGTGACAATATTATGGCAAACGTGGAAATTTGGCAAAGCAACCTACCCTGCCTCAATAGAATCCACATTGCCCTCAGTAACCGTAGTCAGCAACTGAAGAGTCTGCTGGAACAGCTGCAATATAAACTCTTCCATCTGTACCGGAACTAGATTCCTGCCCACAATCTCGTTGATACAGCTCATTGCATGTGTCCCAAGCTCAGAGTCACCCTTTATACCTTGGCGAGCAAAGGAAAATATCGTGTTTATCAGTCCAGGATTTAGTATTTCTGTCAGAGATATCCAGGATAGAAGATGAGATAAACACTGGAGCACACAACTACACATCACTGAATTGTTTCTTTCTTCCTGTATTAGTTTTTCTAGAAGACTCGTAAGCGTTGACAGAATGGCAGGAATGTGCTCGTTTAGTTTTTGTTTGCTGGCAGCGAATAGCTCCGAGGGCATGTCGATGCGGGTTCGGTTTTGTTCCTCCGAGAGGACCATCAACATGGAGACCCCGATATAGGAGGGTGAGGTGCTGCATTGTGCACTGGACACTGTACTGCTCGTTACAAGCTGAAATTAGAGGTGTAGATCACTTGTTAACTCAAATCCAACTCAAACATTTACAGTTTATAAGTTCTGATGAATAGACTAATTAATTAACAAATTCGATTTGTACTGACCTGCATGATTTTCTCGAAGAAAACCGGGTTCGTTTTCCATTGCCGTATCCCGATGTTAACAAACACTTTGATATACTTGATAGTGATGAATTGTATTTGGTTTTGTCTCAAGGCACCTTGGTATAAGAATTCTCTTAGGTTGTTACCGTCATTTTCAGATATAATTGTCCACTTTCTAGCCACATAATCCTGGAAGATACGTCTTTTAGGAGAGATGATGAGGCTACAACTTTGGCTACATGATTTAATTAGATGATTCAAATTTCAAGGAAACATCTTCTGGATCATCCACGATAGATCTAATCATATCGACGCGTTTAGCTAAACGAACGCGCGTGTCTGCTATGCTGATCAATGCCAAAAGAAAAAACGCGCGTTCCTTTAACCAGGTAAAGAAGACCCTATTAAGGCTTGATCCCTAAATCAGCCCCTCTACGCTAGAAACCTTATAATTACGTTATCAATTATCATCTAGACATTTTCGTGCACACACAAACCTCCAAAGTAGATAGTGCCCACCATTGAGAATATTGTGACTGCGACTGTTGTAGTAGCTTTATGCAGCATTCCCAACAGTTGTCTGCATTCTTCAGGTTTTGTAAATCTTGCTCTGATAAAAATTGAGATGAAGTTTAAAATCCTCGTAATATAATATTGACGCTATTCTATTTTAATAAAACAGTTATATATTTTGACGGCACAATCTAACAATATCAATGGTAAATAATTAAAAGTGACAGCTGAATTGATCGTTCTGTTCTTCCCGATTTGCTCGAGGGCGAATATGAAGTATAATAGATACCCATTAAATAAATGATATCTGTACTAACCGATTTGAGATTTTCTAGCATTATCAGACGATGTACTGTAAAATTCAGAAAGAAGATTGTCTAAGTTTGATAGGAACGCTTCTGTCATCTAATATTGATGGTTACTCTCGTTTTTGTGCTAAAATAATATACCCTACTGAAAATATTCAGTTATCTTTAGACGTTTATTCTTAATCATATTGTATCTTTAAAAATGTGATCGATATAAAATTAGTTGAAACTGTGTAACATAAATTGATATGAAACGCAAAAATTTTGAGAATATGAATTCCGAGTGAATGTGACTGAATAATTGAGATTATCGAATTAAGATAATTTATAGCGTTATGATATTTGTAATAGATGCTAATTTCGGATTGAAAAATTTACAATACAAGATACAAGTTCATGGCACTAAGAAAACACCGTTGTAAGCAAGAAAATACCATTCATCAATTATTAAATGTACAAAAATTGCAAACAATAACAAGCAAAAACCAAACAAAATGTGATGAACGATATTCAGTAAGCTAGATACGACAATGTTGTAAGAATTAAGCCCTAACACCTCAGCTTCAGTTCTCTAACTTTTACTTAATACAAAGTAACACCTTTTCATGCTGGTTGGTACATACTTCGTAACCAACTGTAATCGCCAAATTCCGCTATTTACCAATTTAACCTGAACTTTGACACTACAGCAGCAATATCATCGCTATTCTCAAATTTTAACATTTGGTCACTTATGTTACCAAGTATCTTTCCTCTATCCATCACCATCTGATAATTCTGATGGTATTTGTTTTTTGACTTCTCGCCGTTTGACCGTTACATCATCATACAGTGGTAACATTGTTTTTCGGAGTCTTTTATTTTCCTCATCTACTCCTCTTCTACTGTTTTTGTGGTGTTTATTTGGAACTTTCTCAGCTTTTTTCTTCGCCTCAGCTAAGAATTTACGCTGATTTCCACGTTGCTCTGGTGTCCGATCTGGTTTCAGATAAACACCATCGTGAATTGAGTTTTTCAGATCTTTTGATTTATTGAGCAGATTCGTTACAACTGATGAACTTTCCAACCAAACCTTGACTGGCCTCTCCTTGTTTCCGCCTGGCCTCCCAAGACGCTCGGCTTTAAATGTGGGTTTCATCCCGAGCAATAAAAATATCTCTTTCACTACGACATCAAGATCTTCACTCTCTGACTCATCAAGTCTGAATATCATAAGGTTTTTAGTCCTATCCACAAAAGTGCGCTGTTCGTTTTGTCCCTCTTGAACTTTATTCCTCATTTCTGCTATTATTTTACGATGTTCTGTGCGTTGTTGCACGTGTTCAGGAGCCTTTGGAACTGAGGATAAATAACGAGATGAGCACGTGTCATGGTGAGCGAGACAATTCCTGTTGAAATGATGAGGATAGGGTGTGGAATGGAGATGCTGAGCGGGGGGAACTGCTTTTCTAAACACAGCTGAGACACAACATCTGGAGGTGGTCTGTGTGATTCTTTTAAGAGTTGCTGTCATACTGAAATTAAATACTGTGTTTAATAGTAAGCTAGACGCCAGATGTTATAGGTTAATGGTTACTTGAGAAGTAATTCAACACAGGACACGTAATGAGTTTATCATACATACCAAAACAGATGGAAGTAGATTAAAATCAACTCAAGATCCAAAAACATGCCGATCAAAAGATTCATAATATCGAACAACAACAAAAAAACTAAACATTTCCTAAGTATAATTTGTAGAAAAAACTATCAATTAAATAAAATAGAAACCGCCAAAATAAAAGAACTACAGTCTAAATTTAATGATATCAATTGTGTCTTATCACACAGTGTGTCGTAATAATCCACCTCCTGCAAGGTCACATTTCAATCCTGACGACGATTAACACATGTTTATTGAAAGCTTCTACAAGTTAAACCATCGTATCTCTTATATGTTTCTAACCCAACTCCATTCAGTTCAATCCTACAGTTTCAATTTATTTGTTGTGGAAAACTTCGTTCCAAGCCACCATACCACCCTCGAGATGCCTCGGATTCTCTAACCCAGCTTGCAGAGCCAAAGACACCGCTTTCATACTTCTGATACCAATTCTACAAATAAAGACAGTATTCTGATCAGGAATGTTTTCTAATTGCGCGTGTAGATCACCCAGAGGAATGTTCATAGCACCGGGTAACAAACCAAACTCTAACATCTCTTCTGGCTGTCTGACATCAACAATATTACACTTGTCCAGTATCTCGCTCAGCTCTGCTGGTGAGAGGTTAACGTTGTAATCAGGTGGCTTTGCAACTGAAGAGAGATAACGGGTTGAACATGAGTGATGGTCTACAAGACATGTCTTCTTTAGTTGTCCAGGGTGATGAGGGTAGGATAAGGTGTGGAGTTGATGAGCGGGGGGAGCTGATATTCTGATCAGAGCTGGAGCATACCATCTGGCGGCTGTTTGGGTGATTCTTTGAAGAGTTGCTGTCATACTGAAATTTAATAGTGGTTAATAGTGGGCTAGGCGTCAGATTTAATTGGTAAGTGGTTGTATGTAATTCAAGACAGGACGCAAATTCAAAAGTTTACCATGTAAGTTAAAACAGAAGGAAGTTGATTGGACAAAAATAAACACATTTTAGGTATAATTAGCAATATCATATTAAATGGCTACCAAGCGCATCAACTAAAAAATTATTAACTTATCAACAATCAACATGCATAAACGATAATTAATATATTAAAGAGAAAATAAATATTCAAATTAAAATAACGTCGAAAAACTTTGTACAAAACTATCAAAAAAATGTGATCTGACTTTTACCAAATACAAATTTACAGCATTTTAAACCAATGTACTTTTTATTACTTAACCACTAGAAAACCTGTGTTTGTGACATAGCAATCTTATCTTATCCAAATGTTTCAATGGTCATATAATATATATAATAATATATAGGTGATCAAAAGACTGAAAAGCCTTTACTTCTTGTGGAAATCTTCATTCCAAGCCATCATACCACCCTGAAGATGCATCGGTTTTTTAAACCCAGCTTGGAGAGCCAAAGAAATCGCTTTCAAACTCCTGTTCCCACTTCGGCAAATAAAGACAGTATTCTGATCAGAAATGTTTTCTAATTGCGCGTGTAGATCACCCAGAGGAATGTTCATAGCACCGGGTAACAAACCAAACTCTAACATCTCTTCTGGCTGTCTGACATCAACAATATTACACTTGTCCAGTATCTCGCTCAGCTCTGCTGGTGAGAGGTTAACGTTGTAATCAGGTGGCTTTGCAACTGAAGAGAGATAACGGGTTGAACATGAGTGATGGTCTACAAGACATGTCTTCTTTAGTTGTGCAGGGTGATGAGGGTAGGATAAGGTGTGGAGTTGATGAGCGGGGGGAGCTGATATTCTGAGCAGAGCTGGAGCATACCATCTGGCGGCTGTTTGGGTGATTCTTTGTAAAGTTGCTGTCATACTGAAATTGAATACTGTGTTTGCAGTTAATGCAAATGGCTACTATACATCTTTATGTACAACACATGACACATATAGACAAGCTTATCTTGATACATAAAACATAGGGAAGTAGATTGGAGTATTGGACAAAAAGTATAAATTGTGTAGTTAAACTTGGTGTTTTGTTGCCATTCTGGATCCCAATTCCCCCCTTTGTTAGCTATTTCTAATAAAACAAGCATAAGCATTTCTAAACCCCCTCTTCCTAGCCTCTTCCGTATTATGTGAACGATCCCAAAGCAAGAAAAGCTCTACTAAGTAGGGAATCTCAAACTTTAAATGTATTGCACAACATCATGTTAAATATAAATAGCAGGGGAGTGTAATGTACATTGTACAGGATATAATACATTTTTATCTTGATGACAGCAGACTGTCTTCTATCAGCTGTTTTTAAGGTCTGGTATTCACACTGCACCCTTTTCATCACCCATAAAAATAAATTACCCCGAGAACCAATCATGCTACCTATATTATATAATAAATAAATGCACATAATCTTCATTTACAAATGAAAATGTAATCCAACACTCACCATTAAACTAAAACAGAAGCTAACTCAATAATTTTCTGTCCCTCGTGTGCCCTCTCACCAATCATGAATTGCTCAGAAAGTTCCCTAAAAGTCACTGATATTCTTCTAGATTGAATGTCCTCCCTGGCTATGGCGTGTTTCCACACAAATCTACCATCTCCACTCATTGTTATTAGAGATCTCCGAGGCAAGGGCACTTTGATACAGTTATCCTCATCTTTAAAGTACATGTAAGAGTATGATAATAAGTTTATGATAATTAAACGTTCGCCCCAAAGCCAGAAGTCGTCAAAATGAAAGTCGATAGAGGAGCCAAGTTCTGGCTTATAATCTAAATTACACTGCTCAACTGGAATGAAATCTGCGAGTTCACAGATGTCTGCTAGCCTATCCCGGAGGTAATGAGAATACTTTGGGAGTCCCTCAAACTTGTCAAGCTTGAGTTTCTTCCTCTTGTAATTAGCACGAGGTCCGTAGTCTTGTTTAAATCTGCCAGACTGTGAAGCTAGCCACTCTCCTTGGTCGATGTCTTCAACCAGTTTCAGTTCCTCTGCCTCAGACATAAAATCGAGATAAACCCTCACACCCTTGAGGTCGACATTACTAGTGTTATTTAAACTATGTGGACAGGAAATTGATGTGTTGCAGTGCACACAAAAAAGTTGAAATTCCTCTACAGGTTCAGGGAGACATTCTGCTTTAATTGCAGCTACACGATCAGAGTGTTCACAAAGTTTGCAGTAGCGAATACCTTTACATCCACAAGCATGAGCAGTCATTATTACTTTTGTTGCCCTGAATAAGTTTGGTTTCAGATGTCGTTTGGAAATGTGATGACAGTGAAAGTAATGTAGTCAGAGAACTTTAAATTGATAAAATTTTGCAGTACGAAATTATTCACTACAGTAATTTAAATTGAAATTGAAATATTAAGGGAAATTTGGATTAAAAAATCATGGGCATTATGGTAAAATGTTTGTGTTTATATTACAAAATTTAAAACTTAATCATTGTTGAATTTTTAAGCAAAATAAATTAAAAGTAATATCTGACCCCTGCGGCCCTGCTCTTGTATGACCACTATGCCAGGTGCCCAATATTTTTTACTTAAATAAACATAACTAAAAGGTAATTAACAGCATTGATATTTAAGAGAAGGGGCGTATATAATTATCTTCTAGTACTACTATTGAATTGAAAGTCCCTCCAAGGAGGCTACAACCCCTAATATGCATTGAAGGAAGGGTAGCAGACTCTGGGTGTCACAGTCAGCGCAATCCCCATGATTGCCCACGAGAACCATATTAACAGAAGCTTGACTACCTTTTCTACTTAACATTAATTAAACCTGAAATTTGTAAGTTAAAAATAATGATAATAAAACCAGTTAAAACTACAAATCTGTATGTTTTTGTATTAAGTCATGCAAAATGCGAATACTTTAAATTAAGTCCCTTTTTCACAGATTATAATCTCTATTCATCTTTCTCATGACCAGATGATTCCATCTTCAAACGATCCACAACAAGGTTTTCATTTAAATCTTTAGCAGTCATCACGATATTCCTTAAAAAATCAACTTCCTCAGAGTACATATCAAAGAGCAAATATGAGGCATTTGAAAACTTTTTCTCAGAAGTACATCTAGTTAATCTGGACATTCCATTCCAAGGTCCATCTCCGACACCAATGATTATCACCAAGACATCATGCCAGCTTGATTCTACCAAGTGCTCAAAATTCATAATCAAATCTTCCGGGAGCCCACTGGTAATTATGAACAAGAGATGCTGTCCCGAGGTCTGTGACTGATCAATGGCATGTTTTAATGCAGGGCAAAAGCTTCGCGGTCCACTCATTTCAATGCTCTCCACAATAGAGTTGTAGTTCTCTATTGCTTCACTTGCAGTTAGAGAATGGTGGTACATCGTCATAGAAAATACCTCTGAGTCCTGACTCTCCAGATCTCCAAATCCGTACAAGTCTATCGGAATGTTCTTGTTGCCAAACCCTTCCATCAGATAAGATAACGCTTTCTGGTACACATTCAAGTCCCTCTTTCCGACCTTGTGAAGATTTCTAGTGCCTCTCACGTTATTCAAAGTGAAATCTATGTAAATGTTAATTTTCAGCTCGTTCAACTTTGTACATTTAAAGAATTTCTGGATGTCTGCTACACATGTAGGGTTGAATTGAGCAATGTACACTTCATCGTAGGTAGTGCTGGCTTTCCGTTTCATCCCACTCATAAGGTAAGCTGCGATGAGCAGACAAACGAATATGCAGACTTCCAGTAACATTTTGATGCCTTCTATAGATAAAAACAGCTATGATTAGCAAGATAAATTTGATCATAAAAACAAGATTTTGATGTTTACCGAATTAGTTATTGAATTAAGGGTCGTTTACATAATATTACGTAATCAATATTTTAGCAATTTTTACCCCCTCCTGACAGCAATATTACGTAATCATGGCCTGATCCCCCGCCCCCCCCCCCCCCCCCCCCTTGACTTTTTTCCCTAGAAAACACTTTTCTCTACGTTTCATGCTACCCTGACCATGCTATCATGATGAGCCGAAATCATTGTTATGATATCCGGCCAAGCACCTAGCCTTCTAAACTACTTACTATTATAGCCGGATATTCCATAAATTTCTAAATTTTAGATCACAATCAGAGTGAAATTGAGTGGAATTTGTCAAATTGTTATTATTCTAGAGGGTAAAAAAGAAAATTTTAATTACGTAATCAACGACCGAAACCCCCCCCCCTCCTAATCAACCGTAAGCATTTGGAAACCTCCCCCCTCGGCTGATTACGTAATATGTGAACGACCCCTTAGTGAATCTCTATTCTAAAGTTTAAAACATTTATGATGACATAATTCGCTAGTAGTTGAATAGTCCATCATATTTTCTGTTCATTCATATGTCAGTTCAATGTTCGTTTTGCCTGACAGTTTCAGAGCATGAATTTTTGACCCAATAGAATTTTAAATAAAACTATACTGTGTGTTGAAATATATGAAAATTGAAAAGTGTTTTTTTGTGCATTATTTACATATATATTTTTTTTAAAACAAAGAATCAGTCAAATGATTACAAATATTTCACTCTGTATATTGTACTACAACTGAAAATTGAGAAGGAATCCTGGTACATCAGAGATTCTGATAAATTCATGAACAGTTCTCAAAACTAAACTACTTACTTATCAATTTCATATCCGCTACATACCGTAAAATATATAAACAGAGCAATGTATCATTAATAGGAGTTCCTGCTAAAATCAACAACTCAATTGTCCAAGTAAAACAATTTGTCTCTTCTTCTCAAATTTTAAACCAATCCATTTGATGTTCAGTGCATCATTTAAAGGGAATGTAATTCTTCTCCAATGGTTCCCACCAATAAACATGTTTTGCTCTTGATAAAGACTATGTTGAATGCCATTTTTCTCAGTTACAAGCATCTTTAAATCCTTCAATTTTGAATCATTTAAAGACTTACATACCAGGATCATTTCACCACCTTTTCTACGCGACATGTCCAGACATATCAAGTTGTCGTGACTGGTGCCTTCCAAAAAATCAACTTGAAGACAAGTACTAGACTCAAATGCCTGCACATCATTTATGCTGGTACTAAGGTTGTCATCATTGATGAAGTTTATGAAGGGTACATCTTGCTTCGACAAATTGAACCACGATTTTAAAGACAGCAAGAATCCATATCTATAAGCCTTTTTTCCAAAACCAAAGTTAAACTCTGTAACATATTTTTCATCTTGAGTCAAAGACAGAGGTTTGGGAGAGCAAGTTGGCTGAAGTAAATTCCAGAATCTGTTGTTATGCTTTATGAAAGAAGGGAAATCAGGTTTAGTCTGTTCATAACACCAAGCAGTAGCAAAGAGAGCAACTGAAAATCCATAATCGGTTATTTTTTTGGTGCTGATATGGCATTCAAACTTCCCTATGCACCCTCGAGCAAAAACATCAATTCCTACAAAGACATCTAAAGGCTTATCAATGCAAAGTTCTAGTGTCAACTCTAATTTCCAATCTTTCCAAGTATAGTTAAGGAATATTCCATCACAACATCTGAAAAAGCAGCTATTGAGGTCAGTGACACTATCTTGCCACTCTAGTTTACCCTCATTAGTAACAGCATCATACCAAATGATAGAGCTGTGGAGATTTGATTCTTTCATCTCTTGAGTGAGATACTGCAAAAATACTTGGATGTTCTCTACTCCATCAACTGTTAGCACATTTTCGATATTGATTAACCAACCATCAAAATTATAAGTGAGAGCAATCTCAGCCAACTTTTTTGCAAAATGAATTGAGGATTGTACTGATCCAAACATGGTCAGACAGTTATTTGCTCCATGATCCCATTCTGTGATGAAAGTTCCCAGAACTTTCACCCCATTTTTGTGTGCAGTTTCTATCCACATCAGGGGTGGAATGGTTACCAAGTGATGGCTAAAATAGACAAAAATATCTATTTGTGCCCAGTGATAGAAATTATAGAAATCTGGATTATCAGTTCCTCCGACAAACTTGTCATCACGATAACCACCTTCCATGTCATGACAAACTAAAACTTTAGATCCATCATTATCCTTACAGTTCCAGTGCCCTTTACAGACAAGTTCAGGATCCACTTTTTCTCTATCAAAGTCAGATAATTCACTGACCTCATTGATTGGGCTGGTATGCTTCTTCTCTACACAATCTGGCATGTCTAGAAGAAACAGGGTTAAAGAATGTGTCTTGTGAGTATCATTAAATTGTGCAATAAAATAATCATCTTCAATTCATCAAGTAGAATAAATTATTGTGAAGAGCTATAAATAGTTTAAATTTTATACAGCAATTTATTGGTAAGTATTTAATGAATAATTTGTATAATTTGCAAAGTTCATAGATTCCTCTATATGGTCATCGAATAGTTTGACCACACTTGTTTTACTAGTAGAGGCTCTTACGGGCATTGTCTGCTCGATACGTTAGGGACCCCAGATACACCTTCCTAGACGTATTTTTGACCGTAGAATCGATTGAAAGTGGTTCAAGATGATTGGACTGATTGTTCTGGGGTAAAATCGCAAAAAAACCGATTTTTGGGCCAAAAATAGGCCAAAAAACCATGTTTTTTGATATTTTGAGCAAGTTAATTTTGTTGGCATGTCGGCAAAACTTGCATAAAGATAGCTAAAAGACAGCCGCACAAGATTGTATAAAAATAAAACAAATCCCTCTATTTGTTCTGAGGTAAAAATCCAAAAAAGTGGTAAAAATTTTGACTTTTTTGCTTTAAGTTTGAATAATTTTTTGCAGTTGTATTAAATCAACCCAAAAATAGTCACATCGTGTTTGCCTAAATTTTTCCTTTCCGAGAAGTACCCACTTCATATACTTAATCGAAGTTTGAATATTGTCACTCCGCAAGCGTTTTTGCCAAATTTTCGACGCGCACTACGCGCAAAAGCATTTAGTTGTTATCAATTGGCACCCGCGCGTTCATCATAAATTTCAAACAGCTATAACTCAGCGAGATTATGTCCGTTCTAGCTCATATTTTCACACTAAATAGAAAATAATGTGATCTTATTGCTGACAAAATATGGATATAATTACTTTATTTGCCTTAGAGTAATAGACTGTCAAAGTTTAAAACGCGCATTGGTATAGCACGTGACTAATAAGGCCAAATTTATACTTCTTAACATATTATCGATCCTTAGACATCATACTATTGTGTCCAATTAGCGGTTAGGTCTCTAAACTCGTGGCAGAAAACACGTCTTTTTGCCCGTAAGAGCCTCTACTATACAGTACACTACATTGTAGATGTTCTGAAGGAGTATCCTAGGATTCTTGATCTTTTGGTACAAAACTTGAAAAACAAAACTTTTAGAGATGATGCTGTAAAGAATGCAGCAAGACTGTTGGTATTAAACCGTACTATAGCTAGGGAGATACAGATATTGATATCAAATAGGGGATATGCTGGAATGAAAGGAATGAAAGCATGAACATCAGATTTCAGAAGCGAGGGATAAACTCTAACTGCTATGAATGAGAGTAAATCCCAAATCGACTTCATCATTTGCAGGAAGAAATGTTCAAGAACTCCAAAGCATATGGCATATGACACAGTATTGGCTCAGATCACAGGGTAGTCGTAGCAAGTGTTAAGCTTAGCCTCTGAATGATGAAAGTGGAGAAAAGGGCTCTGATACTAGACATTGCTCTACAAGAGAGGTATGCAATTAAGAACCGACAGCAACCTAGAAACATATCAATACCTCATTCATATCATGATTGATGCAAATGGCACAAGTCCTCAACTTCAGCACCCCAATTGTTGTGGCTGCTAAACTAGATTTAAAAACATTTGATTTTTGTTTCGGCGACTGAATCGTCGATGGGCTGGCAAATATTTGTTGTCGAGTAGTGTTGAATACTCATATTAAAATGATTATTGATTTAATTTAGTAATTGTAAATAATTATCTTTGACCAAGTTTAATTGTCAATGAGAATGCACCCCAGCACTTGGCGCGCGCGGCGGCTTTGATGTTAGCGGCTACTTGTAGCGCGATGCGTTACTGTGCCGCGCCGCGCACTCAATGAGGCTTCTCACAGCTAGATCGGCGAAATGCGCTACTGTGCCGCGCCGAGCTGAGATGAATTGACATCGTCAATTAAGCGGCTACAAGTTAAGCATTCACATAGCCATGTGTATACGCGTACTGCGTTGCTCTAACCAGAGCCCTCTCGCTTGAAGTAGCGCGCGACCGCCGAAGCGAAACAAGCGCGTCACGCAGTACGCGTATACACATGGCTATGTGAACGTACTGCGTGTTACTGGGCCGCGCTCAGCCTGTCGCATTCCGCCGAATCTCTATTCTATTATGTTTATGAACATGATAGCCTGAGGTCCCCAGGTAAACTGCGTGACGCGCTTGTAGTTGTAAGCTTGTTTCAGCGGTCGCGCGCTACGTTGCAATTAGCGAGAGGGCTCTGGTTAGAGCAATGATACGACATATATGATATATTATATCTGTGGTTGCGATAAAAATTGTTGATGCGCGGCGCAGATCACAGTTTTGTTTACCTGGGGACCTCAGGCGCTATTATGTTCATAAACATAGAGATTCGGCGGAATGACAGGCTGAGCGCGGCCCAGTAAAGTTTTGTAGCACGATGCACTATTTACAATTTAACTGGATCGCGCCGCGCATCCAATAATGCTTCTCTCAACCTACGTCCTTCGTTAGATCGGCGAGATTGAAGGTGCACCATTGGACCACACCGAGCTGCGAAGGATAGACATCGTCAACCTAATCAATATTCAGTTGTGCAATGTGCATCACGATTGCGCTACTTTACTAAGCGTGCCTATAACTAGCAAGCTAGGTAATCACAGCATGCAGTAGCTCAGCTGATGACAGAAGCATTGTCCTTCAGGAAGCAACTGGAGAAACCAGAATAGCAGAAGATGAGTACTAAGCAAACAGCAAATGTCCTGTATCATGTATTTCAAAGGTGGTGGATACCAGAAACAAGAACAAAGAATGACCGAAATTACACAAAGATCATAATATAAACCCTTTTTTAAGACCAAGATCAAAGATACAATGCAACTATCTGAGATAAAGTTTCATAAATAAAGCAGATAATATCAGCTTGTCTGATATGTAAATGATTAAAACTTACCTGGAGACCCCAGGCTATAATGTTCATAAACCGAATAGAGATTCGGCGGAATGACAGGCTGAGCGCCGCCAGAACATACAACGTACAATAGCCGGGTCACGGTTACCTGGGGACCTCAGGCTATCATGTTTACAAACATAGAATAGAGATTAGGCGGAATGACAGGCTGAGCGCGGCCCAGTAAGGTCACGGGTGACTTTATAATACGTTCACTGAAAAGAACAAAGAAGATGGGGAAATATTGACGTTTTGCTAGCATATTATCAATTATGCTAGAGAAAGGACTGCTCCAGACTTCGCAGTTTTAGACTACAGAAAGTTTTATATAGACTACAGACTAGGAGGTTTTGAATGTAAAAAATCTGGTTCACGTAATACATAATATGTCAATGTGAACGATACCCATGCCAAGCGGATGTCATTTCTGCGGTAAATTTTGTATCATTGATGTAGTCACAAGTCAGTAGTACACAAGTTTATTGTTTAATAGGAAAATTATTTAAAAAGGAGAGCAACATGTTCTGTCCCAACTCCTTTTTCATTTTAAAATTTAAATAGACTTTTAAATTGAACCACTTGGTTACCATTGGAAAATTGGACAAAATCCATAAAATCCATAAAATCTTAATATAGAACTCGTTCGCCTGTCAAAAAAGGTCGTTAATTAAAATGTTATATTAGAACGGAAACTGAAAGCTTTGACAAATGGCAATTAAAATTATGCGGTAAAAGTAACTGAGGTAAAATTATTTAAAAGAATTTGACTTGAAGAAAAATGTAGCCTGATTTAAAATCTTCAAATATCAAAGATAATCATCAAATCGGGTGGATGAATCGGGTGGATAAATCAGTTGGTGCTAAAATAAATCTCAACAAATTATATTCTGCATAAAAAAATAACACCTGGTATTTTCCGGTTCATAACATCAAGCATACTGCATGAACATACACACTGATATCTATTGTACAATTTTGTTCAAGTTTGTACAATGTACGCCTGTTGTAAGTCGTTGTATAGTAAAGTATGTTACTGCATGTCGAAAAAACCCCCGATGCTTCCCCCTGAAGTTCTGTCGAACATTCCACTAGTCATAGTGAGATCGTCTCTCTTGGAGAACCTGGAAACATTCTCCTCCTTACCAAATACATTAGTGATTGCCATGTTGTACACGGAAATACGTTCGTACAGCCGTACATACACCCGGCTTTGATGAACTGCGAAACACAAAAACGCGATGGTCGCAACTACAATGATAGCAAGTTTAATCCAATAGCCCGTAGAGTCCTTATCGGCACGCATACATTGTCCTATCAGAGTGTAGTCAGACCATATAAAAAACACCAACGCAAGAATGTGAAGAGAAAATATGATGCCGTATTTGGCCTTTTGAGTTGATGTCATGGGTAGAGGCTTCCAGTTTTTGAGTTTTGTTTTGTCCCTCTTGATTTTGAACTGAAAAAAGCACACCTCACACCTTCCCTTATAACTAGTGTTAAGCCACTGGACAAGGCAGGGTTTGTGAACATACTGCATAGTTCCCATACATTCACAGGGTTGTATGAGCGGCTCTGTTTCCTCGTGACCACACAAACATATCCTACACTTGTCCTGCATGTTAGACTGATGTGCTGACCTTCCCGACTTCTTCATGCTCTTCATGTCCCCCACTTTGTCCAGTTCTTCTGCACCAGGCTGCTCTTTGTCGAACCCTCCCGTTAGTTCTGATATCAGTGCTGCTGGAGCATCGTCAAAAGGGTCCGAGAGAGGGGCCATTGCGGGGATAGTTGCTTTCGCAGTTGGTGCAACCGCCACCATCATGTTACCTCTCTGAGAAAAAAACGGCAGTTAGAAAACAGGAGAAAGATTTAAAAGGAATAATTTAGGGTTATTGTGGATCTTTAAATTGGGTTTAAATGTTGCCTACTGGACATAACATTCTAACAAATATAAATGCTGAATAGAGAGAGAGAGCGGTATATCCTGATAAGCTAATATAGTCCCACCACTGAACAACAAATCGTAATGATAAGTGGACACGTATTACGAGAACTCCCGAGGAGCGTATTCAGTGAGACTATGGAACCTTCTCCCACGACAAGTGGACTAAACGGCCTAACTGCTCTAGGACCCTTCAAAGTATCACTTGTTAAATTTTTGGAGAGGTTTCCCGATACCCCGCCAACCAAAGGATACACCGCCATCACCAACAACTCACTCTTGGAATAGAATCTACAAAAAGATTTGAACCAGGAATGATTGGAGGACGTAATAGATACTGTTGTCCAGAAGGGATCCCTGCCAAACTAACTTTAAGTACCTAAAGTAAAGTAAATTGAATATTTATAAATCAAGGCCAACATCTCCTCAGTAAACAAAAACTACTGTCACTGAAAACTGTATAATCTCCCCGTTCAATATATTATCTTAAAGCAATTAATACATATTAATAATATGTAATACATATATTCATTACTATCAATATTTAAACCTATAACCATATAAGTATAATATGTTCGTTTGTAAACGGGGCGGTGCCCCGGCGATTCTAATGACCACTAAAAGTAACACCTCATTAGGGCACTGCACTCCCAACAGAAACATGTCACACTGAGTAGATTAATTTGATTAATTTCGCGAAAACTTAAAGTTTTGTGTGCTCCAATGGCCAGATAACATAACTCAACATATCACCGTTTAAGCACAATCAGACAAGTCTCCATCCTTTTCAAAACTGTAAGACCCTAAAACATGAAATGGCAAAGCCACACTCATTTCACTGCTTTGTCTTCGTTCCCTCCTTAGATTTAGTAGTGCTCGTATGCGGTATGGTGCAGTATTATTTTTCTTATGTAGGTCCTGAACATGAACTTTATGCTTTGCCTTCTCCTCTAATGAGCGGTTTGGACTAACGAAGACTGAGCTAAACTTCTTGCACTGCACAGTAGTCACGCCAACTAGCGCCAACCAGCTTTAAGCATAATACTGTTGATTATATTGTCTTTCAAAGCTGCCATGATGTAAGGTTAGGCTTCAAGATGAGGGAGCACAATATCTCAAGGTGAAAGCAGATAAGATAGCAAATTAAACAAACATATGCTATTAGTTTAGGGTTGAACTGGATGCTATTAGCATAGGACTAAAATGTATCTTTTAACATATTCCTGTCAAACTTGAAACTAATAACCATATAAGTATAAACTTTAAACATGCAACATATTTTAAACCCTTAAAGTTAATGTTATGTTATCATTTAAGTAATATGAACGATAACATGGTATATAGTAATAATTCCACATAAACATTTCTATGAATTACAACATGAACAATGAACATGTGTCTTTTATAACCTTTGTTTGAAGATAATAATTGACCGATTGATTGATGTTTCACTTTCCACGAAAAATGTGAGCCATCAACAATTAAAAAGAGAAAAAGGCGAAGGGCTAAAACTATGGGGCAAAATATGTGGGTTTAGACATTTCGATATCGGCAATTGTGTCAATAGTCACTCGATTCGGGACGAAACAAATACATCTCACTGTAAAGAACAGATACAGTGAAACTTACAAGCCTGAGTCCAAACAAAACCAAACAAACTAAGAAGTACAATTCATCAGCCCAAAGACACGGAGCCAGGTGTAAATTAGCTGGAAATCTAACACTGTGACGGTAGAGTTATACTGTAATGTGACTGTATCATCTACCTGCTAATGCCTAATAACGGTGTAATGACATGGAGGAGGATACGGCTCACAACAACAAGGCTAAAGTGGTACGTGATATTTCCTGTACACCCGGTCGAGCTGGTGCTACATAACACTCCTACATTCTACAAGGTGGGGAAACCTTACAGGTTACAACATGAGATATTAGTCAGAGCATTGTGTGTGGGTTAATTAGCACTACCTAGAATAGAGAGTGAGATAATTAAAGAGATGATCGCAAAGCTGGGAAACGAGACAATTTTCTATTTGATGTCTACTTCTGAGCTAAAAAGATCCCTGACTAATAAATCGCAGATTGAGTGATTAAATCTAAACGATGATAGAACAGGAAGTGATACCTACAATTGGGGAAACGTGATACAGTAAATGCACTGAACAACGTTAATATATTACTTACATTGTATTCCATTAGCGAATTAAGTGTCAACGTCCACCAATGCAAGCCTCGTGTTAGCCTCAAATAAGCTGTATCATTTGAATATGCTATTTTCAGAAAATTGATAATTGGTTTTGGTTACCGTAAAAAACGCAATTTTCCTTGCAATTCCGATGTTGGAAAGTTTCCATGCCCTTTGAACATCAGAGCCAATTATAATGAGAGGCAAATTGTTTAAAGCTGATTACAATAGACAAATCATTTAGTTGCTGTGGTTACGAAAACACATTGCAGTATGTTTCAGAAAGCTATCCTAGGATTTGCAACAAACTCAAAATGCTAGCATAGGATTTGCAACAAAAGAACAAACTTCTCCTAGGATTTGTAAAAATTGAGAATGTCCCAGCAATAGTGCGATACCAATGTTTGAATCTAAGAAACCTTTAGTTGGAATTTAAAACACAAGGAATCCATTTCGTTTCTTTCTAAGAGTTTGCTCCCAGCAGAAGAATTCTGGAGTTCAGAGGTGTGTACTGTGTAGGTAAAACTAGAATTTTAAAATAATCCAAAAAAAATACAGTTAAAAGTAGTACACTCACATCATCAATTTCGTTCAGCATTACATTTACACCTGCTCTAATACCTTGTGTATAAATGCTGTCAGTGGTCACTCGGTAAATAAAGTCTGAGAACAGGCCAGACCGAGTACTACATGGGACCTTCCCACTATTAAGAGCAAATACCAACAGGGAATATTCGATATGCAGGTATGTAGAATATATAGAACAAATATGCAGGTATATAGAATATATAGAACAAATATGCAGATATCCGGTACTTTAACTGGACCTCGCAACGCATGACCGAGCATTCACCATCAACTTGTTGACATCCGTTCATTGGAGCAGCGTTTTTATGGATAAAACGTTCGAAATGTCCACCGAGTATTTAGGAGTCAATATGGATTCAAAATGACGTCAAGGCACAAAATTTCTTTGTTGATCAAATGCTTTAAACATCTTAAGAGGAATTTCAGTTTTTCTGGAGAATTTGTTCGTCACCCCCACCGATAGTCAAGTGATTAAAAGTCTAAATTAGAAAATTACCATCCATCCGAATAGTGTGACCAGACGAACTAAAAACAGTTTTTTGTGAATATTGCTATATTGCATGAAAAAACATTAGAAAATCATAAATTACTCGGGTAAATGAAAATCAGAATTTTTCCATCGGCTACACTACAATATGCTGCGTTACAAAGCTTCGAATATCCAGGTTTTAACAGGTAATTCAATGTGGCCTAGAACAGTGGCGTCCAATCAGAGGCATATGCCGTCCGTAAATATAAGTATAACGGTATTGCGCAGGTAAGTACTAAACGATCGTTGACTAGAATTTCCATTAAAAGCATGCTCTAAGAGCCGTTATTTAACAATGACCTTTCTAATTGTCATGTTGATGAGAGGTCATGCAGTATATTGCATTAGCGACTCTTTTATAATACTCATGTTTGAGTTCTTGAATCTGAGGGAAGGGGGGGGGGGGGGGGGGGGGGGGGGGGGGGGGGGGGGGGGGATATAAGGGTAACGATTTATTTTGACTAATTTTGACTTTGACTAATTAACTAAATCACTATAGCAACAATTGTCTAGTTTTCATTTATCAATAGTCATCCACAAAAGTTACCCGATCAAATCAATTTCCAAGCCTAACTTGCGATTATTTTTCGTAGTTAAGTTGCACCCCCCCCCCCCCCCCCCCCCCCCCGAATCCAACAAAATAGATATGACACAATTTAACTAATATAAACCCATAAAGCTGTATAGTATTGGTAAGGAGTGAATAAAACAAACCTAAAAGGAATGTTACGATTAAAGTATGCGACATGCGTTCTATAGAAACAGTGTGGTAATGTTAAATATGCGTAGATAGGTGCTCACGAGTTTTAGGCAAGAAACCTGTCAATAGTTCAAGATAAGTAACTGTTAAAAGTAAAACTACAATAAGTTTAGGTCCTTACGACAAAGACTTAACATCGACGTTACCACGCGGTACCTTTAACATTTTAGTTTACCAAAATTGGGATTAAAAATAAACACAACGTCAACACTTGATCTGCCCAACAAAAATTCTGAGACTTAAAAGTTGAAAAAGCCTTGGCTGACACATCTAACCAGGATTACTTGATGAATGCCTGTCAAGTTATGGTCTGAGCATGTTATGGTCTGAGCATGTTGTATATGGGTATAAATGTCAAGTAGAGTACTTTCATGTTGTGCCACAGTAATACTAATACGGACAAAGATGATTTGGATAATTATCAATAAAGATGCTGTGAAGTTTGTGGATGGATTGAAGTTGGGTGTTTATACGAGCCAGATTGTATTACTATTTACCATACAGAAGCGTGCTCTTGAAAGAGGGAGCTGACTCGGAGGAGTAATCGAAAACTTTGGAGATCAAGAATTTGTAGAAAGCTTGAAGAGTTGAAGATACAAGAAAGTCGGACGCTGTGTTTGAATCTTTATTTAGCAGGAGTAGTCCTGATGTGAATAGCAATCTTCACTGATTGCTATTCTTCGAAAGTAACTAATCCTATTTCTCCGAAGCCAGGCGGTTAAGGGGGGGGGGGGGGGGGGGGGGGGGTTCAGACTAAACCCGCCCCTTAAGGTGTTTTACTGGAGCCGAGTTATATTGTCTACTTCTGATAATTACAAGCCAGTTGA